CCCTCCTGGAATCAAAACCTTAGATATTTGGCCAGTCACTTATTCCCATCTTCTATCTCTTAATCATTACTGAAGCTGGTACTACTTTTACATAGATTAGGTTCGAAGCCTCAAGTGATCATATAGCTAAATAACTTGGGATGTAGCAAACTCTGATGTATTACTGTCCTCCCTTCAAGGTAGATAACTAAATCAGTTCATGACAACTTAGTAACTAGTAAACAGAAGGATTGTAATATTGATTTTTGAGATATATCATATAAATCAGACAATGGACTGGAGAAATGGAACATTTCAGTAGTATAGGGTTTATAAGTTACAGTATTCTAACTGCTTGAAGAGATATCAATACCTTAGAGTTTATTCTGAAAGGATGGATTGTGAACAAAATACCGGAGTATAGAGTATTTTTTATCTATAAATTAGTTTAAAGTTATGTCTGAGTTGGTAATATTGGATTTCTTCAGCTTGTGATAGTGTAAGATTCCCTTTTTTTTGCCTTTTTCTTTCGCTTCTCCAAACAGCCCTTAATTCTATCATATGTTACCCCTTTTGGCCTCATGCAGGGAGGATTCGAGCCACCTGATCATACAAACTGATGATGAAGTTTGGAGGCAATGATCTCCACGGTTACCGGAATGCTTAATGTTGGCCAGTTCCTCATTGCTTCAATGCTCTATTTTGTTGGGTTCTTTAGGCCCTGGGTAGGTCTACTTGGGCCTTCCCTTTCCTTGATTAAATGATTGTATGTAATACTTAACGATGTTTGGGGCAAACTTAATCTGGAGGCTGTTGGCATTCCTTTCCCCAACGCATATGAATGCAATAATATTCATGTCAACAATAGTACTATACCATCTCACAGAGTATACTCTTCAAGAGAAAGAATTAGAGAAGTATAAAATCTGCTCCATATTAATCAAAACCATGTTTACAGCGATATATATTCCAATATATGTTATATAGACTGTGGATGTGTCTAATTGTTGTATTCACTATCTTTAAGCCTAAGGACACATGAACCAAACTATATATTTGTACCTTGAACTTATTTTAAAAAAAGATAAATTAAAAGGAGACAATTTTATGACCAAAATCATATGATAAACCTAAATTATCAATATGCTTCCTAGTTGCATATAGGTCTAACAATTCTGCCTAAGTGATCGGTGCTAGTATCATTACTCTTAAAATTTATAACATAAAAAATATTAGTCATGTGCATTGCACATGACTAAGTTATGTTAATTTTTAACAACACACTAATGGTTAGGAGCTATTCGCAAGTATTTTAAATAGTTTAACAAGTAATAAGTTCAAAAATTAGTTTTAGATTAGAAGAAGAAGAAGAAGAAGAAGAAGAAGAAGAAGAAGAAGAGAAGAGGGAGGAGAGAAATTTGAGAAAGAAGAAGCATGTAATCAAATACCCTACACCCTTCACTTTTTATATTTTAAGATGAGCAAAAGTACAATAATACCCTGACTTACAATAATAGCCTCTAACAAGGAAGTTGTCTGCAAAAATCAAGGTACTTCTCCCTACAATTGCATCCTAACATGAACAATTTTATCCACGTTGGATCACCTACTTTTCATCTACAATACTATTAACCAAGATTGAGGCCATGCCCCTCAATATTTTTAGAAAACAAAGCATTATCTTCATACAACTGATGGGAGCAGACTACAAATTAAGTATAAACTTCCTTCTGCCTATGCATGCAATAATCGTATTTGTATAAATACTCATTTTATACTTGTCAAAAATATGAACCAACAAGTTATCTTGGGAACTCCATTCCTTGCTATACTTCAGCCGTTCACAGTAACATCTAAAAGATTAATTTCCAATTTTGCTGGAGAAAAGACGCATTTTAAATTCATCCATCCTCCCCAAGAAAAGCTTATTAATTCTATAAAAAATAATCTAATTTCCAAACAAAAACAAATACTTTTGCTTCAACAAAATATGAGTTATGAAAAAATTTCTCGTCAATTAACTGATATTGTTCTTCAAACCCAAATTGGTCAATTTTAAAAACAATTAGAAAAAGAAATTTATTCGGACATTCCCAATGCTTTTTGGCAATAGGAAGAAACATATTGTTTCTCTTCCTTATGAAAAGGTTTCAAAGAAAGTCAAATCCCAACAAAAGTCAGACCAATCCAAATGAATCAAGAGATACTTGAATTTTGTAAAGAGTAATAATACTTGCACCGATCACTTAAGCAGAATTGTTAGACCTATTATATATAATTGGTCATTAATGCATTAGATAAAAAAGGGTTCTATTTTTTTTATTTGACATGACTAATCAAATATAGTAAGCCTAACAATTCTGTCTAAGTGATCGGTTCAAATATTATTACTCAAATTTTAAATATAACATATGTAAATTTGAATATAACATATGTACGATGATTCAACAGAGTAAAACCTTATTCATTTATGGTAAGTAAGTGAATAAAACGACATTATAGTATCGGAACTCTGAGACTGATATAGAGTTGCGCAAGATCCACTCATCTAAATGGTCTTGTAGAACAAATAAAAATCATTTTCTTGTCATTCTGGTTCTGGCTAATGTTTATTTAGTTAGACACAAGTCAAAGTCACAATGACAAGAAAATAATTTTTATTTGTTCTACAAGACCTAGTCACTCTCCGTAGGTCTAAATTAGTGGACTAATTATAGTTACTGGAAAGTTAGGAATAGAAAGCTCCTAATGTATTTAGATGAAAAGGTCAGGCAATTTGTAGAACTTGGCTATAAGTTGCCTACTGCAGAGAATGTAATTGACAAATCAATGGCTGATTGAAATAAAGATGAATTAGTTGATGCATACTTTAATTCTAGAGCATTAAACACTATTTTGCAGTCATTAACTCAACTGAGCTTGGTAGGATAATGAAATGCACTGTTGCAACTTGGGCTAAAGAGGTATCCCAAGTTGCATTAGTTGCAATTGCTGAACCTCTAAATATCAATTTTTTTATTTTTATTTTTATTTTTTTTAAATATCCCGACAGACTAGGGGAAAAGGGGACTCGAACACAAGCACACCCGTCGGAGAGCTAGGCACTCTACCAAGGCCACCGGATAATTCTCGAATCTCTAAATACGTTCAATAATAGAACTTCTAAATTAAATACTAATACTGCAGAAGATGTTATAAATGATTATACTGGAATGGAGCTGAAAAGGACCAACGGCCAATGGCCTAGCGGTATCCACCTCTTACTTCCAAAAGGAAGGTCAGTGGTTCAAGTCTCAGAAGAGACAAGTGTGTGTGAATACCAACTAAGAAAAAAAAAATGGAGCTGAAAAGGAGGATGATGATGATCCTTCAAAGCTTAAAGTAGCTGTTAATGAATTATTTGAGGAGACTCTTCAAGCTAAGAGTCTAAATAAGAACTAAAAAAGTTAAGAAGTTAGAACAAACTTTAGAAGAAACTAACAAAGTAGTATCGAGAAAACCTAGATAATAGATGAACTTGAAAAAGAGAAAACTGATTTGCTCAAAAAGAGTACAAGAAAATACAGAGGCACAAAACCTAAAGAATGCCTAAAAAGTACAAAGTAGCAGCAGCTAAGTTTACATCAAGTTCTCAACAATTGGACAAGTTACTTACAATCTATAGAGGAGACTATTCTTTTGGGTTCCTTGAGTCCGTAGGACTACTAGTTCTTTGGCTTCAGCCTTGTACAGTGATTGGGATGCATTACCCTTTTGAACGCTTTCTTATCTATCAAAAACAAAAAAAGTTACTTACAATAGACAAATCTTCACATGATAAGACTGGCTTTAGGTTATACCGGTGCTACATCTTCAAAGATTGTGTTACTTTCACCTTCTCCTTCAAAAGTTGTGTTAATGTCTCTATAGATATGATCTTTTATCATATAAATTTATTAATCATGAAAATAAGTGAAACTCATATCTTTATGGATCACCATTCGAAGTAACTAAGAACCAAGAAATTTCAAAAGTTGTGTTAACGTCTCTATAGATATGATCTTTTATCATATAAATCTATTAATTATGAAAATAAAAGGAACTCATATCTTTATGGATCACCGTTTGAAGTAACTAAAAACCAAAAAATTTCAGAAGTTGTATTAACGTCTCCAGAGATATGATCTTTTATCATATAAATCTATTAATTATGAAAGTATAAGAAACTCGTATCTTTATAGATCACCGTTCGAAATAACTAGGAATCAAAAAATTTCTTATAATTACAATACACATAAACACAAATTATTTGATATGCAGGAGATTACCACTATCAATAATTATCTAGGAGAAGGTGATATTGGGTATATTGCTTTGACTAAGACCAACAAATTTATATTCTTGCTACCAAAAGTATCGATTAATATTTCAAAGAACACTTAAATGCCCCATACTCAATTTAAGAATAATTGAGTTGTTCTTCTATCAAAAGGTTTTCATCCAACTTCTCTCTGTTGTACACTCTAGATTCAGATTGTCATCAAAGACAGAGAGATGTTGAAAATGGATACTATTGGAAGAATGCTATGTTTAATAATAATCTTCAACCCAATAGAAACCAAAAGAATAATGATAGGAAGAATGAAAATAAGAAACCTAAAGAGAATAATTCACCTAAGAAGAACAAAGATGTGTTAGTGCTATAGAGAAAATTGCTCTTGAACACTCATAACCTGACATAAGTACTCTTATAATTATCTAATTATAATTGCTCTTCAGCACTCATAACCTGACATAAGTACAGATCTACATATTTTAACAAGAACATTTACCAAGTTACTGACAAAATGCGTGTGTTGTGGAAGAGCATGCAGTATTGACAAACATGGATCCAACAATACCCTTGCCAGTTATACACTAAGAACATAGACAATCCATGCAAGATCACATTACACCCTGTACCCTTCCAACTGAGAAAATGTCATGGAAGAAAGAGAAGGTCATAGAAGTCCAGAGAAAGATTCCTGCAAAAGGCACCGCCAAGAAGAAAAAAATTGATTCCCTGATTTTTATAATGTGTGAAGGTCATCCTGTTTCTGTAAACCTAAAAGTAACAAATCGAATCGAATTAATATACAAACTAAAAACAAGGTAAAACCAGCGTGCAAAGATATTTGATGTATTTCTTCACAGCTCGTTACATACAGCAGCAGTAACAAGATGAAAAGAATGTAATTTTACGCCCATATGACAACTCTGTTGGAAAGACCTGTGTTTTTCCCGCATCATGTACAAAAAGATGCGACACCCCAACCGCAACCCAATCCCGGAAAATAATCCAACTGATCTGTCTTCCAACAAATCCTTGAAGCTCCAAACAAAATGTGTCCTCTCGCCAATGGATGAGGAAAAAAATGAAAGAATCACGAGAAAAAAACAAGGGTTAGCAGCTACATGTACTCACAAAACTATGGGAACAAAAACCTGTCAAGTTGTATTTCTCCAAGCAAATTACGTCGCTGACAGAGATCTTAAATCTGCTGATTTGTTGATGCGACACATGCAATCCGGACATGGGACAGAATATATCGAGTCATTTGGTCTTTTGAGCTCAATTCCTTTTGAATCACTATGAGTTCGCATATTCAGCATATGCCTTTTGAAGCTTTTCCACCTGGGAGCAAGGTAAGGAGAATATAAATAAATAGCCAGTCATGGTATTCATCATTATACCCGAAGGAAGCACCAATATGCATATACCCATCTGATTGATTATCAAATATATTTCACTTTTACTGGGAAATAAGACAAATCAATAACTCGATATAGGTTCACAATCCAATTCAAGAACGAACAACTAAAAAATGGGCAAATCACAACAAAACAAATTCAGAGAAACTACAAATATCGACTTCTATTGCAGCAAAATCTCACGTATTTAGATCATCAAGGCCATGTCAGCTAAAGGGAAACCACAAGAAGAGATCAATACATACCCAACTTTGGGATTGTCAAATAACAATGCTAACTTCCGCTTGTCAGGCCTAATAGTCTTCGAGTGTCCACTATACAAGTATCGTCTGTGGCCCAACAAAAACTGGGGGAAGTTTCCACCTTGAGTTGTCACAAATACTTCACTGTGAAGACAAACAGTGTAGTCTATGGCAGCCATCCTGGAAGAATAGTTCTAGAAGCAATAACTCAAGTCAAAGCAATGACTTCAAATAAGACCTTAAAAATGGAAGTAGAAATTCAAAGACACACAAGAAAAATCAAACCTTGAATGGAGCAAGTTCCTCAGCAGATGCCAGAGTCTCTTTGGTTTGTAAAAGGGGAAACATTTCAAATAGCGGAGCCATATATCTCTCAGAATCATATATCTTTCCAGATGCTAAATAGATGGATGTACTTTTGTCAAACCCCATTCCTCTAAGCATCAAACCAACCTGATAACATAAAAGACAACAATTTTTTTAGTTATTAATATATATTACATATCTCTCAGAATCATATATCTTTCCAGATGCTAAATAGATGGATGTACTTTTGTCAAACCCCATTCCTCTAAGCATCAAACCAACCTGATAACATAAAAGACAACATTTTTTTTAGTTATTAATATATATTACATATATACGTAAGGAAAATTACTCATCAGTCATCACACCCTTTAACCATTTGTTTTGATGTTGAAAAAGGCGAAAAGAAAAAATTAGTGAACCAACAGTCGCAGCATAGAAAATTTTCAAAATACCTTTAAAATCACAAACATTGCACTTTGTTATTACAAACGCTACAAGAAGTACACAAGTTTTATTACCAAAAACATGGTAATGCAATGAAAGCTCAAAGCAAGCCTAAGAACAGACCTCTCACAGATAAGAAAACCACTCCTAGGCTACAAAAATAAATCCCTCACAACCCAAAGACGAGAGAAATTCAACGAGGTCAGGAAGATATTTGCACTTTCCCACAGCATGGCGACTGGGCACTCACAAAACATGGAGGGGGGCCGGAACCAAAAAAAAAAAAAAACCTCGATGAAATGTAAATAAGAAAAAGCTCCATCAACCAAACAGACAAGTGACCAAAAGGTAGAAGCTCGACTATTGATGCTGCAAAATGGAACACCTGTGTCAATGAAAAGCCAAGGCGAGGTGTGAAAGAAATTAGGAAGGCAATAGACACCAGGAGCAAGTAGAAACATGCATCAAACAAACAGACCTTACTCACCGTTGGCAAGAAGAAGCTGGCTTACAAGAGCAGGCAGCAGCTTTGTCAGTCCATGGATGCACCACTTCATTGGCCTGCAACCGACTTGCCCCAGCAAGCACGTGCATAAACTAAATCTTCCCCACACAACAGAAAACCAAATCTGACATGGTCAAACTCTGAAACACCATACAGAGCCTTATTAACCCTAAACCCCACTCAAGATGAAGTCGTGATCAAAGTCGATAAACAACCCCCCAGTGCCATAACCGTGGGCAGTGGCATATATGACCACACCCTAGCAATGGTATTGGAGACAGTAGAGACAAACAGGGTATAGTTTCAGTTGAAGAGACTAAGTTAAAAGAATAACAAGAAGTATAACTCCATTAAAGCCCCAGTAAGGAGAGACCTCAAGTAACCTGCAACTCAACCTAACAGCCATGATAAGGCAAGCAAATCTATGGAGTTCTCTTTCTGGAGCACTAGAAGAAATGTAACTCAACCTAACAGTCATATTAACTGAGGCAAGCAAATCTATGGAGTTCTCTTTCTGGAGCAATGGAAGAAGAAAAAAAAAACCCACAGAAAGCTCTCTGTGCAATAAATGGAGACTAAAAAAAAAATTTTGACAAGTAACATGCTGAATACGATGTTACCTAACTGTCAAAGACTCGTTAGACACACTCTTCTTTTTCTTTTTTCTTCCCCTTTTCCCAAAACAATAACCACAGAATTTTAAGGGGCACCAAACCTCCAACATATGTCGCAGAAGTTCTCTATGGAATTAAGTTATAACAGCTTTACAATTAAAACCTAACCAATAGCCCCGGAAGATTAAGCTTAATGTAGCATAAACGATAACAGAGTTAACTCACAAAGAAAACATTCACAAGAGAGAAAACTGAAATTATATTGATAAAATGTCTACTTGCAAACTTACATCTCTTGCCTTTATATAGGCAAGTCAAATTTTAAAAAATTAAATCATCCGTGAAATAATACTAAAGGGAAAATCAATCACATGTCTTCTGAGATTTGATGGAGTAGAATTAAATCTTGCAACGAAGAATAATTTTTCAACCAAGCTATCTATTGTTGGCAACTACACCAATCATGTTGTTGCCTATTGTGAACTCCACCACCAATCTTCCTGTTTATTTTCAACTTCTCCTTTTTCTATTGTTGACTTTTCCTTATTTATTCTTTTCTTCTAGTCGCCTTACCTTTTCAGCCTCCCTGATTTGCGGTGATCGCGTATGCTCAAATACTTGTGAGCAAGTTGTTCTACATCAGTCTCCCTGTGTGAAAATAACTCGTCCCCAAGTTACCCAAATCTGGTGGATAATATTCATGTATGCTAGCCACGTTGAAGGTAGAAGAAATGGCCATGTTAGCAGGTAAATAAATCATATAGGCGTTGTCATTGATTTTCTTTAGAATCTAGTATGGACAATATTTCTTGGCCTTCAGCTTCTTGTATGTTCCCACTAGAAACTCTCTTTTTTCTTAGATACACCATAACAAGGTCCCCTTCAAATACTCTCTTCCTTCGTCTCTCGTCAGCTACAGCCTTGTATTTGGCATAAGTTTCCTCTAGATGTTTCTTGACACTCTCTTGAATGGTCTTAACGTGCTCAGCCATTTTCTGTGCAGTAACACTCTTCCCTGGTAACTTCAGTAAGGATACTAAATCCAAAGCAATGTTTGGAGGACAGCAATACACAACTGCAAACGAGGATTTGCCAGTGGACCGGTTAACCATGCAATTGTAAGCAAATTCTGCCTAGGCAAGAGCAAGATCCCATTGCTTTGGTTTCTCTCCTGAAATACAACGAATCAGATTTCTAAGGGTCCTATTCACCACCTTCGTTTGGCCATCAGTCTGGGGGTGACTAATGCTATTGAAATTAAAAGAGGTATCGAATCTCTTCCATAGAGTCCGCAAAAGTGAGACAAGAACTTGGTGTCACGGTCTGAGGTAATGGACTGTGGCACCCATGTAAACGAACCACCTCCTTAAAGAACATATTAGCCATCTAAAGTGCATTGTTCGCCTTCTTGCACGCAATAAAATGGGCCATTTTGGAAAATCGATCAACCACCACAAAAACAGAGTCTGCCACTCGCTGCATCTTCAGTAACCCTAGAACAAAATCCATGGATAAATCCTCCCATGGAGCATCTGGAATAGGCAGCATTGTGTAAAGGCCAGTATTCTTCTGAGATTGGCCTTTATTAGTTTGGCAAATTGAGCACCGCCGCACATGATTCCTCACGTCATGCTTGAGTTGCGGCTAACAATATCGTTCTTCCACCAGCTCTCGTGTCTTATCACACTCCAAATGTCCTCTTAATCCTCCTCCATGCAATTCACGAACCACTTACTCTCACAAAGAACTCCGTGGAATACACAACTGATTGCCATTAAAGAGAAATCATTCTTACATGTGCAACCCTTTAAAGGACTGACTCGTTTTACACGCTGCCCAGGCTTGGCCAAAATCTTCATCAGCCTCGTATAACTCCTTCAAGCACTCGAAACCTGTGATTTCAGCCCTCATAGTCACTAAGCAAGCTGCTCTCCGACTTAGTGCATCTGCAACTTTCTTCTACTGGCCTAACTTGTGTTTTAGCGAGAAGATGAACCGTTGGATATAAGCCGCCCATCGCGCTTGCATCCGATTAACTCTGTTTTGATTGTAAATGGATTTCAGTGTTTGGTGATCTGTAAACAGCACGAACTCTCGCTGGATAAGATAATGCTCCCACGTATGCAAAGCTTGCACCACCACATATAATTCCAACTCATAGGTGGTCCACTTCTTGCGTGTTTCACTCAGCTTCTCATTGTAAAACGCTACTAGCCTTACTTCTTGTGATAGAATTGCTCCGATTCCCACTATTGAAGCATCACAATCCACCTGGAATAGCTTCTCAAAATCTGAAAGGACTAAGATTCAGGCTGTTGATAGTTTTTCCTTAGTCAAGGCAAAACTTATCTCAGCTTCCTCTCCCCATTGGAATTTTCCTTTCTTCATGCATTCTGTGATGGGACCCACATTACTACTGAAGTTCTTGATGAACCTTGGGTAGAACGCTGCTAAGCCATGGAAATTGCATACTTCTCCCACATTCTTTGGCGTAGGCCACTCCCGAATGGCCCTCACCTTCTCCTCATCTACCTGAATGCCATCACTACAAACCGCATAGCTGGGGAATACTAGGCTTGGGGTCACAAAGCTACACTTCTTCAAATTAATGAACAACTTATTCTCCTCCAAACCTGTTAATACCTCTCTCAAATGCAACAGGTGTTCTGCCTTTGTTTGACTATAAACCAGAATATCATCGAAATAAACTACTACAAATCGACCAATAAATGGTTTGAGTACCTGATTCATCAACCTCATGAAAGTACTCAGCGTGTTGAATAATCCAAATGGCATAACTAACCACTCATAAAGTCCTCCCTTTGTCTTAAGCACAGTTTTAGACTCTTCCTTAGGGCGGATTCTGATCTGACGGTATCCGCTCTTTAGGTCCACTTTGGTGAAGACTTTCGATCCCGCCAACATATCCAGTATATCATCCAACCGTGGAATGGGAAATCTATACTTGACAGTGATTCTATTAATTGCGCGACTATCAACGCACATTCTCCAACTGCCATCTTTCTTCAGTACTAGCAAGGCTGGAACAGCACATGGGCTTATGCTCTCCCGAAATAACCCTTTCCGTAGTAACTCTTCCACTTAGTCTTGTAAGATCCGACTCTCGTTGGGACTCATCCGGTAATGTGGTAAATTTTGCAGGCTCACCCCAGGCACCAAGTCAATGTGGTGTTGAATGTCCCTCATGGGAGGGAGACTATCAGGCAAGTCTTCCAGCACTAACTCACTAAACTCCTGCAATAATGGAAACACTATTGTTGGTAATGCAAAAGGAGGTTGTTCAACCACTTCCCCCTTACACGTAATAGCAAAGATTTCAGGGGCTATTATTACTTCGCCCAAAAATTCCTCATTGTTGATCAACATAACTGAATTTCCTTTAGAAAAATTAGGCTTCATTCAGCGGACCCAGAACAATCTTCTAACCATTCTTGTATAGAGTATACACATTGTCTCTACAACGGTGAGTGGCATCAACATCAAATTGCCATGGTCTGCCCAAGATCATATGGCATGCATCCATGTCGACTACATCACAACACACCTCCTCTGCATGTGTT